CTTACGTTTCAACATAAGCGTCAGCAAATTATCTCAAGTAATTTAACAACTATCTACTTGCGGTTGCATAAATCTCAAGTTATCGCTGTAAATTATGCAGAGATAAGTCGCCAAGTGGATAATGGATGTAATGATAAAATTGTCAGTAGCCCGACGGATAATATACGTCTACAAGTGAATATAGGCTGTTGTAAAACTTTAAGGACATAATTTTACTTCGCATACAAAATTATTTCAATCAATTAACGAATACGTATCTGTTAAACAGTACACCTTTACTGTAAAGAGAAATGAAGAGACGAAAGAGAGAGAGAAGAAAGAGAGAAAAAATGCTATTGTCACTTTCGTAGATACCCAGTGCCAAATAAAAAGTGCATCGAAAAAAATTCATATCCTAGTGAAGAGACTACGTTGGGCGCACTATAACTTTCCGGAATGAATAAGAAAAAAATACTATAAATGATGAGAAATTAATTTATTGTTTCTCAAAATATCCTCCGTTAGCGTTAATGCACTTTTTCATACGAATGAACCAATTTTGAAAACATTTATACCATTCGTCCGTGACAATCTCTGAAACATATTTTTCGTACTCTTGGATAGCCTCTTCAGATGATGAAAATCGTTGACCGCATAAATGGTTCTTAATTTTTGGAAATAAATAAAAGTCACAAGGTGCCGGGTGCGGACTGTACGCGGGATGGCTCATAAGGTCAACGTTGTTCACCTTCAAAAATTCATTTGTAAAACTGGCCGTGTGAGAACTGGCATTATCGTGGTGCAAGATGATACGGCGTTTACGGTTATTTTTACGGAGTTTGTCAATAACTTGCGGCAAACAAATGGTCGTGTACGAATCACTATTCACGGTACAATGATTCTCCAAAGCAACAGTAGCCACGTGTCCAGTTTTATTAAAAAAAAGAAGCAATTATCCGCTTAGAGGCACTTTACACGCGCGTCACTTTGGTTGGTTTCGGCTCATCTCGAAAGACCCATACGCTCGATTGCTGCTTTGTTTTGGAATCGTAACTATAAATCCATGAATGATGAACAGGTGACGATATAGTAATATCCCAAACTAATTTGACGCACCTTCGTTGAATCTGGTAAGTATGGCATTGCACCAAGTGACGAGATCCGTGTTTTGAGCCTCAGTCAAAGTGTGCGGGATCCACCAAGAGCACAGCTTTTTCACACCCAAATGTTTGTGTAGTATTGATTGTATTTGACTCATGCCTATGCCTAAAGATGCCTGAATCTCATGGTATGTCACATGCCTGTCTGTTTTGATCATATAGCGCACAGCATCAATGTTTTTGTTGTTCACAGCAGTGGACGGGCGACAATCACGAAATTCGTCACTGAGATTCACACGACTGCGTTTGAATTCCGCAAACCAGCTATAAATAGTCGTCTTGCATGGTGCTTCATCGCCAAAAGCAGTTTGTTACGCTTAAAGTCGTAGAAAATCATACTACGAAAATTTTCACGAGTTAAATCCATGGTGATGCAGACAACCAATTTCTAAAAGTCGCCACAATGTAAAAGCAAGTGATAGTCGGATGAAACAAACTGTATTCTACAGCCAAAGAGTTTTATTTTCAAATGTTGTAATTACTTTTTAAATATTGTTTATGTAAGTGGCCAGTTCCGGAAACATATATTGCGACCTATATACAATGCCACTATCAAATAGCTAGATTAACAAACAGACCATGTGACAATCCTTGGAGTCTGGATTAAGAAGTAAATCCATTACCATCTTATAACCTTTTCAACACGAAATTTAAAACTAGTCAGTCAAGTGAGTGTAGTTCTGAGGAAAAGGATCCCAAAAATTCTTGTAATGGTTGACACCGTTGACATCGTTGATAAAAATTTTCAAGGATATCCTTGAAAATTTATATCTATAAGTCATCCTATATATTGAACTGCAGAAAGCGAAAGTAAGTGGTGCGTAATCTGTCCATAACCACCTTTTATGTTGGACATTAGCATTTCACATCTCCATCGGAAATTTGCATAGAACGTGCATACACATTAATGTAGTGTTTATTACTGTTTTACTATACAGCCATCGGAGTTCTTGTTTGTTTTGTGTCGTGTGAACCCGAGCTTTCTATATTTAGCTGGAAATAGACACTATTTTCACCTAATTCTATTGTAGAACGTGTAAGGTCTGAAACAAAAATACAAATGTGCTTGCATTCTTTAAAGGCATTTTCATAAAAGCATGAGTACGAAAGAATATCTGCAGTGCCAGCATAGTTCATAGAACGCTTGCCTCGTATGAAAACTTCGTTTTTCTATTAAAAAGCCTTCACCAGTCTTTTCGAACCATGTGCAGTTCAAAATACTAAATTATAATGAACTTTAGCGGTGATATCGCAATCGCGATGAAACCAGCATGTCGTAGAATATGAACTCTCCGAGACCTGAAGTCTTTCCTTTATGCTACGACATAGACAGCTTATCTGATCTTGCAAATGTCCATGGGCAACGATAACCATCTCTCATGAAAATGGCGCGCTTGCTCCTTTGCGTTCTACTTTAAAAAAAACACGTGTGAAGTCTCCAACTGGCGTTATCAACTATGGTCTAAACCCTATTCATAATTGACACACGTGTCTAGTGGTACATTGAAATAAAGATCATGATGATGTAGGTAATAGTAACAAAGTAGAATTTTTGTATCACATATGTTAATAGCGGTTAACGAGAAACTCTAATCGAGTTCTTAAATTTTGCGATTGTTACACATTGGAAGTGAAACTAGTTTTTGGCAACTTATCGAGTATATTTGTTTTTTTCGGACAAACCAATGTTTATGACCCTTTACAAATCCCATGTAAAGGGCTAGTCATCCATAATCATGGGACCGAGCCTGAAGCGTTGTTTTATTTGAAAAATTAACTGTACGTGATTTAGAGCCGAATAAAGAGTTTCATTTCCAATAATAACTCTAATATCCGCGAAACAGGAGAGGCCATAACTAGCAAGTACTTTAAAATATGGTGGAAAAACTAATACCGAGAGCTACGGCAATCTTTACATACTATTAACAAAGAAATAGAAGAATATATGTCTTATTTGTCAAAGGCCAGACAGAGTCGTCATGATTCATTATAATTAATTAGTTAATTCCTTTCAAAACAGTCAACTCTTGTGCAAGTAGGGTGGTCCAATATCATCGAGACTAAGTACTACGCTTGCTTTGAGTAGTGCAATTATTTCTGTCATCCAGAATGACGGTTATATCAGAGAAATTGTATTGCCAATTCACATGAAGTTGTCTGATTTTAGCCGCATCGCTGGATTTTAAGCTTTTCTAATACTTGAATTTGCTTAACAAACTTATGCAAAACATTGATCACAAAGCATCAGCAATCTTAAAACTCGATTGATAAGTGATGAAAAAAAATGATGCGGGAACCTGAAAATTGAAAGAAGTTCCCGAAATTCTCGTACCATATGTAAAATCCAACCGACAGATCTACGTTTAAGGCTTAAAACGTTCTTCTTAGAGCAAATGTCAAAAAAAGGATATGTTGACACCAAAATTTTGCCGAAATAGCCTCAAGCATTGCTATTAACCTCGTCCCAATAAGCACAAAATTACGTCGACATTAGTATGCGAAACGCGAAAAATAAATACCTTACCAGTTTATAAAGGCAACGAGTCGTTAAAACCTCCAATTTTGTTCGGTAACCCCCAATAAAGAACGATTATCGAGATACATGCAAGTAGAGTAGCACTAATCTTGTCTTCGGCAATTTTCATTGAAGCATTTACCGAAATTCGCAACTTCGAATATATGAGTCGGTAAACTAGGGACTTAATGATCTTAAACGATCAATAAACAAAATGTTACGTTTACCGTGTGGGCCAAATTTGTGTTAACATATACATTTGAATAATTATGATGTCTGACCTATCGAAATGAAGCAAATTATAATATGTAAATATAGTCTTAATTTTTGTTTTGAGATTGAACCGAAAAAGGCCGAAGTTATGCCCAAGTCGGACTCTTGACGTAATACATGTTAAACAAGTTTTTTGATCGGTGAAGGGGCGCCACTACTTGATTGGATGATTGACGTCGCCTTGCCTTTATAAGGCGAGAGAAATTAATATTCTCATATGACTTTATATTGTCTACACTACACCGAATAATAATACCTTTTCCCTTTTAAAATTACAAATGTGTTACATGTTTATCTTGTTCCAGTCTTACAAATTGCTTAATTAACAATTAAGTTTTTATTAAAAGTCGTCAATTTTTCCTGCAAAAACATCTTTGATGTTAACCTTAAGTTTTTATTTACATGTACACACACACCCACACACACACACACACAGGTAGATCCCCACCAGAAACTTTGAACGTGTTAAGAAGGAGGATAACCTCAGTCACTTATCTCTCGTATGCTTATACTGCTTCTGATCTATTGAATACAATATACGATTAAAAAATATGATCGGTCCAAATTCTGCTACCTTAAGTTACCTTTCAGAATCGTGAGTTGTTACCTATAGAGAATTAAAATCCAAAGTAACAATCCAGTATGCACAACACTTGTGAAACGAGATTGTTCAGCCTCCGGCTACCAAACCATCAGTCAAAGAAGATTGTTTTTAAGCGCAAAAATATTAATTGGCCGACAATTTACAACGTCGCGAACCAGTTTAACATTGTTACGGGTAATTGGATGGATACCTTACGGTGATCCATCAAGGACTTGGAAATTGTTTTGCATATGTAACCACTGTTGCAAAATCGTACGAGATATTCACTCATAATACTGTCCATAAAATTTAATGTCGAACGTAACTTGGAATTCATTTGCAAGATTTGTGGTTTGCTGAAAATTTATCTATGTTTGATGATAATATTTTGACTACATACAACTTTCTGTTACAATCAATAGTCCTTCCTTATTACCCAGAAATATCAAAACTAATGAAAGATTCTCAACATATTTTTCCATCTTTCCAGGTATGTAAGCCAGACATCAATTGCGACGCTCCTGAAAACAAATGGCGCTACATTGAGACGTTCACCTGTCAAGGCCAAGAGGAAAAACTCTTAAAGGAAATGCGTCTGTCCTTCCCTAGTGGACACTCTTCGTTCTCTGCTTATAGCATGATTTATTTTGCAGTAAGTTTTTTCCCGTTTTAATCGTGATTTGCGTATTGTAGAGACAAAATTGTAAAGCAAAGGTACACCTCAGCCTCACATGAAGTAAAGTTTGTATTGTGCACTTTAAGGCTGTACCTCGTCAATATCCTTGGATATATTCTATTTATCTGAGTCTATCGGATTTTTCCAAGATACCGTCATTCTGAGGTGTAATTATGCGAATACGTGTCTAGCAATTCAAATCTACACTACATTTATTCGTAAACGAACGTTGGTTTACTGCGATACTAGCCGTAGTATATAAGACTCAGTTCACATTACCGCGAAACGGAATGGACGCAATATTTGTAACCGTTAAACCATAATGAACTTTATGGCAATTATGTAACGTACAAACTAGATACGATACGATGTGTCTTCCGGAGAATTCTCGCACTGTCTCGGGAATTCTCATAGCTTTGTAGAATTTCATTACAAAAATTCGCAGCCAATCAGTTCCGCGACAATGTAAATTGAACCTTTCCGTTTCACATTCCGTTTAAAACGTAAACGTGAATTAAGTAACTCATATTAACCTAGCAACCTACAACACAACACATTTTTGTGTGAAATATTGCAATCATCTTCTTATACAAATTATTATTTAATATGTATCTACATTTTATTCAAATGCAACTGGATTCTCTGTTCAGTTATTATATTATTTACAAGATTCAAAGCCTTGCGGCACTTATTCCATTTGTCTATAATTTGCGACGAGATGAAATTGTCATCCAATGCACGGTTGCATTGGATGACAATTTCATCTCGTCATTCCCATACCTTGAGGCTATTTTGTTCCAATTTCAATATCAGTACGTAATCTTCACTCTATATTCACCAGCCTTCAATTTGCAATACATGTCCATATGTTTTATGACAATATTCGGAGTTTGCAATATTCATTCAATATAATAAACAGAACCGTTGTTTCCTATTAACCTTATTACATGGAGACCTCAAACGAGAGGAAACTATTTCGACACTGGTATATACTCGTCTGGATTTTGTGATAAGCTAGTGTTACTTTAGTTTAGTGCATCTTTTTCATTAGTGGGAATGAGATTGTAAAAAGTTATATCATGTAAATTACTCTGTTTCACAGATGTACATTCAAAGACGATTCACCTGGCGAGGCTCCAAACTCTTCCGTCACGGACTTCAGTTCGTTCTATTCATATTTGCCTGGTACACCGTGATGACCAGAGTATCTGACTACAAGCACCACTGGAGCGATGTTCTTGCTGGGTTCATCATTGGAATGCTATACGCTATTGTCATTGTAAGTTCTCATCATCAATCCATATATTTAATTATGTCACGCTGATCTCGTATCTTCTCTAAAGAAAGGTTTAGGCCATAGTCCATCAATCTGACCCATTGCGGGTGGATTGTGTTCAACGGCATAAGATTTTCTAACGCTTTTCCATTACCTTTTAAACAATTAACAATTAGTAAACTAAACATTACTGTTTTAGGTTGTGTTAAAACAAAGAACAATGCCTACAGCAATTAAGCTAAAAGAAAACAAACTGTTGCCGTTGACCCCGTTCCATATACTCTTTGGTTACTTGTAGATTAGTAGCAACATTGAAAACTATGCTTTGTTTATTCTTCAAATCCATTCTTGTCAGTTACTTTAGGGTTCAAAGAACCAATTTCCTTAACTACGCTTTAAATTTACCGTTTCTTCTATTACAGTTCACATTTGTTTCGGACCTTCGGAAATCTTGTCGCTTTAGATTATCTAATCAGGATGCAGAGCTGCATATCACCAATGGCAACACGCGGCCTAACTCAGGGTGGCAGGTTTGACAACACACTCCACCTGGCACCCCTTCTCTAAGCGAGGAAGAAGAGATGCCATGACTAGAGCCCACACAGAACCAAATATCGTGGATATCCCATGAATATATTGGTAACTAACGAACTTTGGGATGCAAATCCCCTGTGCAGTGTAATTGGTGACTTTTAAAGTGAAATTTTATAAAAGTGACAAAACCGTGAAATTTGAGGTAATAGCACTGAGTGAAACATGGTTATAATTCTGTTCTGTGTTACAAAACTATTTATGAAATTGTGAAAATAGTGTTATCTGCTTATTTGAAACTATAAAGTGAGCAGGATAGTACTACATTTAAAGTTGTCTTAAAGTTTATGCAACATATCAACAGATTCAGTTCGTGGCAAATATCCTAAGCTGATTTTTTTAACGATCAATATACCCAAAATATTTGCCGTGGCCTGTAATATATTAAATGAACTATAAAAGAAGAATAGTGCAATTGTTGAACACTTAATGAATGAAGTTACTGATAGGAATTTCTCGGGTATTAGAAGTATTACTAACTCGCTCGTTATGTTCCTAGTTCAGAACTATTTTAATTTTAACTGTTTTTGTAAAAGGATTTGTGTCTTTCCCGAAAGTAATGTTGGTCATTTACAAAATGCAATGACGAACGGGTACATCAAGGAGTACTTCTTCAGCCCAAACTGTTTAATAGGTATAGTATTGGAAATTTAGTAAATAAAGAGGAAAATACATTGATATATACAGTCTGTGACAATGTTACAGTATGTAAAGTTCACATGTGGTAAGATAAAAATGAAAAGCAAAACTAATATAGACGAAAAAAACAACTCTTGGCAATGTGTGTTTACGGTATCTCGAGGGAAAAATTGTCGTTTACATAGCGGTCACCAGAATTTAATGATTAGATTTATTTATTTAAAAAGATGCGAGGTTTAATATACATTAAATGCTTAAATACATAGGACTGCATTAAACGGGCGAAACTGGGTCCCCGCCCTGAGATTCAGCTGATGTATGACTTTGATCATACGTTGGATAAAGTACCGCTCAGCCATTGGGTTTCCCAGTTTCGACTCATACATTGTTTGGATTTTAATTCACAATAGTTCACGATACTCGATTGTAAGCTATTGTTAAGTCTTTTGAAAGAAAACCACCAATGATATATTCATCACTCTACAAAGTCAGCCATGGGTGTAAGCATTTACAGGAACTACCGATGTTTGCTATTAATAATGGGTACCGTAGAATTTGCGTATGTGTGTGAACGTGTCAGTGGTTGTTTTACTTTCATATATTAAAATACGTCTGTTGATCAGAAAACAATTAAATATATCATTAGTTTAGTTTCACTGTTACTATAGTACAATTTTATTCTCGCTTGCAAGTAGTAGCTTTAAAGTCACTTTTGAATCTGTCTTTATGTGTGGTTTATTTATTTCGTTGTTTACATAATTAGTTATAAGTTGTCTATATATTTCTATTTTATTTGAAGTCAATATTTGTTTGTTAAAGAATTGATTCGAAAATGTTCTGAGATAAGTGTATTCCGCTAAGATTATTCTGTTCTTATCGTTGTGCTTTTCTACTTAATTTTCACTGACTTTGTTTTCCTTTAATTTTATTATAGTGAAATTTTATTACTTCCAAAGTGCACAGATTAAGGTACAATTACCATAGCTTTTGCTGTAGGAATTTAAGTGTAAAACCGCTGTGTAGTAAACATTAGCAAACTTTTTTTACTGCATATTTCAAGACACGCAGCCTCAATGCATTTAAATTTATTTATATACAAACCTACACCAGCTCATTTATTTATTTTAGCTTTAAATTTAAACTCTTTACACTCTCTAAGATTGTAAGGAATTGTATTTTAATTCTGTGATATAGAATCGTAGAGAATATTACAGATATAGTAATTTTTGCATATACGTAAGGTAGATTTTTATTTTTAAGTTGTAGTTATAATTAGTTCTAATGTAAATGTTTTAGGTGCTAGTTTATAAATGTAAAATTATTTACATTACTTCAGATTTTATCAATCGACACTATAGAAACATTTTGAAATTGAAATTTTGTTGGTCGGCCTGAATATTACACGGCTAAAAGTTGATGTTAGAAAATGCACTCAGTGCCTTTTAATAAGTAGTATTTTTGGCTGCAATTTATTTATTTTAATGGTTAAAAACTATTGAAAAATGCATAATAAAAGTAATGTACTTCATTTCGCGCATTTTTACTGTCACCTCTAATCCTTGTTAAAACTGATGTCGAGCAGCGCCATCTCTTAAAATTTTCGCTTACTACTTGGAAGCGCTTGTTGTATTTCCCAAAACACCACATAGGTGGCGCTACTTATGACAAAAATTTTGCCCTTCCTTATTCCTTATATTCTTAGCAACAGTAACAGTAAAACTGAAGTGAATCACGAAAATTTGCTTCATTTCAACAAAAACTTGTTTTCGAACCCTCAGTCTTGAGAACAATGCAAAGATAATGTTTTAAATACTTTGTAGTTCAAATTTTACTTTAGTTTTTAATTTTGTACTGGAATACCTTTATGAGATTAGTACCTAATGATGGTTACCCACGATTAGTCATTTTTATTTGCTATTTATCAACGTTATCATTCAGTGTAGCCGCTACCGTAGTGCCGTGAGGTGACGGAGAAAATATTATTAAAAATAATGGGTGTTAACAAACTCATTCTGAAAATTGTTTTGGACTTTTTCGTCATCTGTGCTTGTAAGTACGGTTTTCTATAAGTTTTTACGGTTTTTGAAATCGCTGCTCCAACTTTCTACAGCTACAATCGTTTTAACTACAGTTTGCTTTGTCGTTATTTTTGGACATTCTTATTATTATTATTTTGCCAACTTTTATACTATTTAACCCTAGTATTTTTCTTTAATATTTTAGGAAAGTGGAGTGTTTTACCAGCTAAAATTATATTAATTTAATACATATTGAATTTTAATTATATCAAAGTATTTTTTTTAATTATTATGTTTTCCTAATAACGTTATAGCGATAAAGCAAACCTAACATCATAACACCATAGGAGCGAATAAAAATTCTAATATTATGTTGTCTATACTGTGTAAAACAAAATCTCGAGGTCTAAAACTCCAGTAATCGGAGAAAATATCTTAATTTTCTTAAAAAAACAATTGCACCGGTAGTGAAATTAAGCGGTAAGAGATTCAAAGATTAAGAAACAAAGTATTCCAGACATGACAATATCAGACATATCTCCAATATTATAACTTAATTTGCTACGGATTGAAGACTAATGTAATCTTTTATTTTGTACGTGAGAGATATTCGAGATTAAATCTCAATTTTTTACAAACTTTTCTTTAAAAAATATTAAGTCTCAAAATATTATTGTTTTTTTTTTATTTAACATATTTTATTTGACCTTAAGGTTGATTTTCAATGTCTAATTAAGGGCCTCTATATATTTAAAACGCTCTGTAGTAAAAACTACTATTTGACACTTAAAGTTTTTTACTTCTCACCTACAGTGTTATATCTTCAATTAACCCAGGACATAAAAGATTCCCCTGATTTAATACAATGATCATAATTTGTTGTCCGACGGGATAGATGTGGTGCCTTCATCGCCCCACAAACCAAAAGTTTTGTAAGGTTTCTTTTAAATTTATCATCGAGTATATAATAATTTATTTAAATGTAACTGTTTCTTTTTTCAAATTAATACTTTTTGCCATGATTTTTTTTTAACTTTCTTACACAATATTGAACTCTAGAGCTGCACTATAAAAAATTTGATTTTTGCAAAGTTCTGTCAAGGTACCGTGTATTTCTTAGTACATAAAACTCGAGTTGTGTATGAATACCGATGATACACTCCGTCGGATAGGCGAGTTATACATGACCTACCGGTGATGCACCCCGAGATGAACGTGTTAAAATTAATGCAACCTTAACCTCGTGGTTCTATTACGGGGGTAAGCTGCATGATAATTGTTTTCCATGGGATGTGAAGTTTCTTCTTTCTTCAGTGTGCAGTTTCATAGCGTTGTTTTCTTTCGCCGTTAGCGAAAGGTATTCCAACTAAACATTCTGAAATGTAAGTAACTAACGAAAAAGTGAATGACATTTGCTTCCTACGTAACAAAAACTAAAACTCACTCATCGGAACTACTGTCTAAATTATCCTTTAGGACGTAGGTCAATGTTTAGGACTAACCAGCTGATTCTCAGGCGTCGACCGGTGCTCTGTGTGCCCGGGACGAAGACCAATTATAGGCAAAATTCATTTTTCATCAGAACACTTACGGAGTACAATCAACCTATTCTATAGCTAGATATATATTAGATATATTAGATATATTAGATACCTAGTCTATTGACATAGATCTGTTCAGTACCAATGTAGGCTCGATTCGACGAACGTGTTTTAAGCAATATTTTACTTAATTATCTATCTCTCATTTTTTTTCCCTGTCTTTAAGATGTGCGTGTTGTTGGTTGAGCTATATAGGGTTCAATATTTTTCCTTTTTTTCTCTGTATTGGCAAGTGTGTAAAATAAAATTATGTTGTTTACATTTCAATAATAATGTTTTACTTTCTGCTGACTAAAAACTAAATAACTTATTTCCTGTGCTACGTATGGAGATTTCTAATTAGCATTTTCACCTGTTACTTAACATATATTTATTGTTAAAAGTTCGCTGTGTCTTCCAAAATAGACCTTTCGCTGCACCGACCAGTCGATGTAACGTTTTCGATACAACGACAATCGATGTTGTGACTTTCGATATTGTGAATCAGGGGGTCTACTCTCGATCTCCGTCCGACATCCGTCCGAAACAATTACTGCCAAATAAACAATACTTGACCAAATGAAAAGACGCATGATGCGAATGAAGTTTCATACTTGACACTTGTCTTTTAATTTTGTCGAATATTACTTATTTGACAGTAATTGTCGAGAGTAGACCTCCCAGACCCGTGCAGTGAGGTTTTCGATCATTCTCGGTTTAGGGTTCACTACCCAATTACCGTGGCAATTATCATTTTATTTCAAGAATATTATCGTGTAATTATTAAGTAATCTGTGGCACTGGTTCTATTGGCTATGGCAGGTATAGACTTTCATTCAACCCTTAAGTTCCTCTTGAGCATAAGAAGAAGTATTCAATTTTATGTTAAGGGAACAATATTATAAAAAAGAAACCTTGACTGTGATTTGTTACAAGGTAGTAGGAATAAAGAGAGTCACTAGACCGTTTATTCAATGACGCATTTCAGCGTAATAAATAACAGTGATATCTTTTTATTACTTAGGTTGATGTTTACTAAATCCACTTTAAGGAAGTAAATATAGGAAAATATTTCAGTTGATATCTGCAATTACTCAGACCGTCAGAAACACACGGCTGCGAAGTGGAATTCCCTGCCAGCAAACTTTATTTATTTATTAATTTATTTCCAAACTTAACCTGTTATTGCAGGTTATCCACCCAACGCAATAGACCAGCAAAATTACTACATGTAACATAAGATATAAAGCGATATATTTGAGAATTCACTCAGAGAACAATGGAACAGATCGATCCTGTTCGATATTTCGTTTGGGTGTGTCATGTGCGCGTTAGCGGACATTCCGTCATGAACTAAACTTGTTCCTTGAACGATTTTTTTTCACACACTCCTGACCCCGCACTAGGGAAACCCTGTATCACGAGTGCCATCAACAATCACAAATTACAACAAACTCATGAGAGAAATAAATGTAGCCCGTACAAATTTTTCTCCCGGCCCGGAAATACGAATCCGGGACCTCTGCGTGGCAGACCAGTAGGGTAACCGTTCGGCCACGTTACACACACAGTTATTAGAAATTAATTGGTCTTTTCAAGGTGATGGTGAATAGAATTATATAGGTATGCATGCATGCTCCATTGTTGACCTCATTTGTGGCTTTCCATCAGGTGTGATATTTTACTTTTGAGTAAAAAAAAAATTAAAAAAAATGTATAATTATTATGAAATATTTTGGTTTATAATGTGTGAGCTTTATATAATGAGGTAAAATGAATGTGTCAGAACAAAATCAGGATTAACGGTACGGAACGTAAGGTACCTATAGATAAACGGAGAACGTTTTTTTTTATTTGGGCAATATGTCTTTTCACTCACGACAAGAGAAAAAGGTAGAAAGACGTACAGTCAAGAGCACAACAAGCTTGACACTTTGTACTTTGGACCGTTCTTTACGTAAGCGGCATACAGTTGGATTTAAGTGTGAAGTCACACTTAAACAAGCTTGACGTGCTCTTGATCCTGTACATAGACCCGGAGGAGTTATTGTTCCTCCAGGCGTTTATGTTACCTAACCTACCGCTGTCACTTAAACATAAGTACGCAGCCTCATGGATATGTGCCTATTTCCAGTTCTCACTTACGGTGCTCAGACTTGACCTTTGACTAATAAGGCCCAGAAATTCAAACTCGAGGTTTACTAGTAAGTCATGAAGCTCAGTCACCTCAGGTGAAAAATTAATGGATCATATCAGGAACACCGCGCTGCTCTCAAAAACTCAAACAGTCGTATAGCTTAGAAGACGGTTAAATTGAAATCAGACAGCCACGACTGCCGCATGCCAAGTGGATTAGGGGCCACGACGACCACGGAAGCCCCACTACTAAAAACAGAGACGCGGCATACTTTGTCTTTAGATAGCGGAATGTGTTGGACGTCTTTTTAAAGGACTGGCCACCTATATAACGAAATCAATGTAAAAATAGGGGTGAAGCTTTTACCCAGCAGTGAGATACAAAAGGCTTATAAAAATAACAATATGAACGCCGCCGCCGTAATCTTGAATTGTAAGGTGAACCAAATATTTTAGTCAATTTTAAACCTTTTTTTGTTGAGCTTGTTTGTTATCGAAAGTATGCGTAACCATTTTAAATACGGTCGTATCTTTTTGTTACGCGTTATACATACAATTTATACTTTTAATTAAAATGGTTCTGATAAGTCTTCAGATTGTTTTCCGAACTCCATAGCCAGCGCGTGACTACTAATAAAGTCTAATCTAAACAGTCTAGATAATTTTTTGGCATTTTCGAGACCCGACAATGGTGTTTTTCGATATTCCCGAAACCTTTGAAACCTAAATCACTTAATTAGAAAATCTAGTTTTGTTAGTAATTACAAAAAGTAATTTTTATTGTTCTTGGACAAGGATATGGCAACACTGCAGAATGGAGCCGTATTGGGCTAATTGATAAAATAATTAGCGCAGGTTTAAGTATGTATGTACATATATGTAGTAGTATATATATGTGTAGTCAACATTTTTTTTTAATAAAAATTATAAAATAATTAGGTTTTGTATTTAGAAGAGTGTTGATGTCAAACAGACATCTAAGAGTTGTGGACAAAGCTTTGAAATTGAATACACGTATAAATCGAGTTCTTAGGTTTTCGCGATTGTTACACATAGGAAATGAAACTATTTTTCCGGATTTAAATCGCGTATATTTGTTTTTTCAAACAAACCGACGTTTCGGGCCCTTTACAGGTCCCATGGTCACGATTGACTGAGGTGGTACAGTCTTCAACCAGTTATGTCTAATATTAATGCAAACCACCCTATTTTTTCACTATAGTTACAATAGTTATTAATTAAATACCTTATTTTTAATTTTACAAAGAAAACCTTCAAAATGTTATAATTATGATATAATCGTCGTTTATATTTATAAAGTACCTTTCGCTACGCAAACCCAAGCTACGTCTCATGCTATAGTACGACAATTAGGGTAGCTCGAAATGTTATTAAAACTCAATTAATTTCATTTCAAGCCATTCTAAATGTTGTACATACTGCATATCGACACAAAATCGCGTCCCCTGCAAAATTACAAAAATGGCACTTCCAGTGTAATGCTTCTCAGGTACGGCTATTGTAATCGTGAAAATAGAGCAAAGCAGGTAGAGCAGAGCAGGTGGCAGCAAATTTAAGGTTGGTCCGGGGTGGCAAAAATCGACATTTCGCCACTGCGTCAGGTACATTAACAGTGCTGTAGTCGTGTCGAACCGGTCACAGTGACCATTAATGAAAACTTCAACACTTAGTTAGTTAGATAGTTACATTCGTTGTTCTTAACGTAAACATTTCCTATGGCGAACATAGACACAGATTTGGCATCGTAGTGTAAAGAAGTTAGCAGAAGAATTTCAGTGATTACCCTCAATTCTCCCTCGAGTATAGGTTTATATCATAGAATAATGTTGAAAATTACTTACATAGAGCGCTCATATATTTTAATAGTCATTAAACTATAAAATGAAACTCGCAAAAAAGATAAATTCATAAAAAAAATTATAAGTGCTTATAGATAATTGATATCTGCAAATATTTTAACATAGGGTAACACAGGATGGGTGAATAAAGAACAGCATTCATGGTTGCTGCGAACGGTGATGTTAACCGATAAGTCATTCGACCTTGATGTACAAAGTCGATGTGTTGGTGCGTATAGATCTGGCGAATCTGTAGCGAATGCGCGGCATGTGCGCTGCGTGAGCGCTGCGCACGCACTGCACGCGTGTAATCACACATATGGTGCCCGGGCGGCACGGGAATCTTGCTAACATGAACTATTCGCCGATTCAAATAATTTCGTAGCAGTTGAGTTCTTTGTGAAAGAGTTCGTTTAGGGAAGTACTGTCGCCTTACCTATTTCTGCCGCCAAGCAGTAATATTAGCATTACTGCGGTCCGGTTTTGAAGTAAGAGTGCTGGTGAAATTACAGGCACATGATCCTTATCAACCTATGTCTCAGGGTGACGGGCGCTGTGGCAGTGCCCCTCAGATCTTTGTGTTTTAAAGCTCTGATTGACACTGCAACTGTTATGGACAGGTGTGTCGCTTACCATTAGGCGCACGACTTGTTCATCCACTCACTTGCCAGTCACAGCCCGCAATGGAGATTTAGATATATACGATAGGTAATCGTTTCTTATCTTAAAGCAATAATGCAACTAAGCTAACCATTGAGACAAATTAATTTACATTATTCGATTGCGTAAGAGTAGGTATTGATAATTACTCATGCTTTTGACTTGTTTAATTATCTACTTTAATGTCTACGTACAAAAAGCCAATATTCATTCAATATAAATATATTTTCATTTTCAACGTAGTCCATAAAGTTTGTCACTTGTTTTTCTCAGGCGAATCTGCCATAGAATGAGTAGAAATGTTTAATCATAAAAAAGCCGTTATTAAAACCAAAAACTAGATCTTTGTCTGTTTCAAACTGAATACCTCCGGTGCCGAACGGTTACCATGCTAAACTGCAACGTAGAGTTCCGGATTGGATTACCGGGCCGGGAGAAATATTCAAATAAATAAATAAAGCACACACACATAGCCCCGCACTAGGGAAACCACAAATTACACCCAAAGTTACGAGAGAAATAAATGTAGGTCATACAAATATTTCTCCCTGCCTGAGAATCGAACCCGGGACCTCTGCGTGGCAGACCAGTTTGATAACTGTTCGACCACGGCATTTAATTTGAAACAGATAAAGAAGTGATTTTTGGTTTTAACGGCTTTCTTATAGGCATAATTTTTAGGCAGATTCGCCTAAGTGACAAACTTTTTTGGACTGCGTTGAAATGAAACTGTATTGTCGAACTGAAATTGCGTATGTTTCTATGGCCTACATTTATTTCTCTCGTAAGTTTTGATATAATTTGCGGTTGTCTATCAATGGAGGATCCGCAATACAGGGTTTACCTAGTGTGGGGCTATGAGTGTGTGAAAAAAAATCAATTAATAGGAATGTGTGCGCGTGTGCGCATAAACGCATAGAGAAATTCGTAAGGTTTACTGACTCGATATGTAGCTCATTTGGTAGAGCATTTGCCCTAGATTGGCAAAACAGACGCACTTGCCACGATTGTCAATTTAATCCAAAGTGACCAGTTGATATGTAGCAGATCCATCCAAAAGCCAAAGGTGGCAACAGTACTCCAAGCACGACCGGACTTGTGATTGGTACAGCTGAAGCAAATGTCCCGGTATAAAGTAACCTTCCGTGTGTTTATATGGACGACATGATACCACGTGCGGCCGCGAGACGGGCACACGCGCCCTCGTTTGGTGTGTTGTCGTCCATATAAACACACGGAATTATGCCATATATACATTACTTATCTTTTTTTTCTTGTTTTTTAACAGATCGTGTATTAGTTATTATGTTCTAATATTATTTGTGAATAGCGGAATAAATGTTTTTTCTTTCTTTCTTACTCGCCGCGGTGCCGACCTGACACACGCCCGACCCGCACCCGCTTTCTGTGTGTCTCACGCTTAAAATGTCACATATACTTAATTTGTTCCATGTACGTACTTCGTATTATTTTTATGACTTTCGGGTGATAAAAACACTTCGGGCGGATCACATGTGGCTTTATTATATCCAAGTTCAAAATTAAAAGATTCAGCTACGTTTGGATCCAGACTAAAATAAGTTTTATTTACCATTCCAGTGGGTTTCATCTTGCTATCAGTATGGCTATGGGTTGAGCCGTATCACCGTGGCTACTTCCAAGATGACTACTCTATTCGTCTGCCGTACAAAGACGAGGCGATATCTGCCGGGCTTTTGGCTGGACTGGGGTTTGCCTTGAATATCATTACGGTAAAATAAACAGTTCTTAGTAACTTTTGCTTGGTTTGAATGCGTAGTAGCTACTGTTTCGACCGTAACAAGTATGCTATAAGCCACCAAAGAGGAGATTTGGTACTTAGCGGTCGCAACCGTTACTTGTGTAATGCGTAACGGGAAGTGAGCCTGCCTACAGCTCCGGTACCTATCTGGAAAATAGTGAGGGTACGTGTACCTGGGGCGGCTCAACCGAGGCACTAGCCTGTAGAAGGTTCCTGTGCACACACTGGTTACATTGCCCTTCTCGTATACCCTAAGGGTTAGTAGGCGAAGAGGTAAACTTCTCTCGTAAGATTGGGTATAATTTGTGGTTGCTTATATGTGTGTCCATGGCACCCGCGACACAGGATTTCCCTAGTGCGGGACTATGAATAAGTGTGTTATTTATTATTAATAATTATACTTGTGGTATTTATTGTATATATAGCACATTGATCTGTAAAATCTAAAAAGTCTAAAGATGGATTATTGAACACAAAGAGAATGGTTAAAATATAACTTGCCAAACTCGCAAGCGTCCGATCTCCGAGAGACGTAATCGATTAGTATTTCTGAATGTAGATGGCGCTGCTCGCTATCTACTCTGTTTTGCCAGAATAAACCACAGACTATATATGTATGGTCTGTGGTTATAACTAAACGACTTCCAGTAACTCCCGTCTTGCGTGTTTACCGATCCTCACCTCCCGCCGCAGTTAGTGGGGAGCCCGCCATTAAAGTTGGTTGAAGTTAATAATATTCATATGCGCGCGTCTTTTCTCTTGTTTTAGATCATTTTTAAGTATTTATTAAGTCGTAGTTTCCGTGAATGCCTTTGTGCCCCGTTTTTACCAATGAATAACCACAGTGCTCTACCGACTCACTTAATTTATTTGTTTTGACGCTATATGCCACTAAACGCACAATACCAAACGGGCATGCCAGATTAGTAAAATGCCAGATTCTCAAAACGCTAAATGTCGCTGTCAGGAACAGCCCTCCCTCCTCCTGACGCAAGAACTATTAGCCCGGCCATAAAATAAATTAGGTATCTTTTAAAATTGATGATTAAATTAAGAACAAAAATTATTTCGTTGATGAGGTCTACACAAGGGCAACATTGTAACCAGGCTCTACGTGTTTCGAAGTTAATTTCGAACTGCCTCAGTGACCGAACGGTTACCATGCTGGACTGCCACGCAGAGGTCCCGGGTTCGATTCGGGTCCCGGGCCGGGAGAAATATTTGCATGGCCTACATTTATTTCTCTCGTGAGTTTGGGTGTAATTTATGGTTGTCTATATGTCGTGTCCATGGCACTCGCGATACAGGGTTTCCCTAGTGATAATCATTTATTATTATTGTTAAATACTGCGTAACTAACATTGTATAAGTAAATATAAACGAGGTACTAACGAATTATCTCCAAATGTACATTGGTTAAGTACCTTGAAATGAATTTGGAAGCGTTGCTATCTACCGCGCTATTTATCTTCACTTTTCTTAGAATTAGATTGCGGAGAAACATAAGCCAGTCTAAAAAAATATTTCCACACACTGTTTAAACTGAGTTTCGACAATCAAATACTTTGAGTACGTGGCACCGGAAAATTAAAAAAGCATAAGTTTATTTATTTATTGTAGTGGATGTTTAAGACTTAATTAACTAAGTACCTACATCGAGTACCTATATAATATACTAACATACTAATAGTATATAATATACTCGATGTACGAAAGAAAGACCACGTCATAAGTTAACAACGGATCTCGCACTAAACCGGCTGCTTAGCTTCAATGCTCGCTTGTATCGCATAAGAGTCATAAAGCGTGAAATACACTGAGAGCAAGTGCGGGTCGGGCGCGTGTCGGATCGGGAGCGCGGCGGGTCTAATTCTATGTGTTTATATGGACGATACCACGCGCGGGCGCGGGATAGTACAATTTAGTATTAGAATTTAGTAGCAGTAGAGCTTCTTGTGAAAGGGTTCTTATTTCTGCCGCCAAGCAGTAATGTCACACAAACGCACACGCACACACTCAACATAGCCCCGCACTAGGGAAACCCTGTGTCGCGGGTGCCATGGACACACACATAGACAACCACAGCTTACACCCAAACTCACGAGAGAAATAATTGTAGGCCATACAACTATTTTTCCCGGCCCGGGAATCGAACCTGGGACCTCTGCGTGGCAGTCCGGCATGATAACCGTTCGGCCACGGAGGCAGTTAATGTGAACATTACTGCGTTTCGGTTTGGAATGGTAAGGGTACTGGTGAAACTGCAGGCACATGGGACTTGTCAACTTTATTGCGTGACGGGGACAATGGCATTGCCCCTCAGATCTTTGAGATTTAAAGCTCTGAACGGCACTGCAACTGTTATGGACAGACGTGTCACGTACCATCAGGAGTACGAGTTGTTCGTCCCTCCACTTGGTATTAGAAAAAGTCATCTTTACTATTACATGAGCCAAAATTTCATTCGGCTTATTACATATTGTAAGAATGCGCGTTATATACTTTCTGCAGGATTTATATTGTATTGTAAATAAAAAAATTGTATTGTAATTATAAAATGTACTGAAAATGTAAAAATGACATGAAAAGAAGAAAAACAATTATGAAACAAAAGAAACAAAAAAATAAATAAATTGCAAAGGAATAAAGAAGTATTTAACAAAAAAAATTGTATGGCGTTGAAACATATAACAAACGTAGGCATTTATGAACATATGTATGTTTTACACATATTTAAATTAAGTTTAATAAACAAACTTTGAAGAAAAAAAAATTCAACCAACTTCAAAATACCACAAAAGAGAAAAATAACAAAACAGAGATTTAATCCAAACGGTAACAATGTACGTAATTGTTTTTTATTTATTTTGTCTTATTTCGTTTTGTACACAGTATTATAATAACTTATGAATCAATTTATCTACATTTATGTGTTATTTAAACATGACAATTATTGTCCAAACCTATTTATTACATATAATTTTAATAAAATATTATTATTGGTGTATATGCTGTCTACCGATCGGTAAATTAGAAACATTATTAACATTTGCTGAAGTTTATATTTTAATACTTGAATTGTAAAAAAAAAAATATGAATAATACAATAAGCGGTATCTACGATGCATACACAATGATACTTGGTAAAAGATATGTGTATTGATAAACGATGACATTATCAGTTTTCCTGTCAGGGACATTGATTATATTTATATATATCGATATTTATTATTCAAATGGGTTCCAGGTAATCATAATCGAAGTGATCCGATACAGACGCGGCAAGAGCGCCGAAGAGAAGTACGTATGTGGAACTTTTATACCCGGATGGATCTGGGAGAGTTATGTCACCATAGGAATATTTACCTTCGGCGCCGCTTGCCAGCAGCTAACATGTAATCTGGCTAAGAATGTCATCGGGAGGCTACGACCACATTTTTTTGACGTAAGTTCACAAAACAGGTTCCTAATTCCTACGTTTATTCTACAATCACAGTGACAAAGGAGTCCAAAAGCAGGATTTTTAACGTCTCGTTCATCGTCCAGTATATAACCAGAAATAGAAACGACATGTCATGTAATTTGCTTGAAAACTGTTCTACCATATCACTACGGTGACAACTGCGCTCTTTCGAAAAATTCGAAACAATCGACGGGTGTCGTCAATTCTATAACTTAAAATCGACCAGTTTAACTTGAGCTCTGCTATAATGGACGAAAATTTAAAAATTACATATTTAATTACCGATAAAATGTGATTCCGTTTGTTTTGTAATTAGATGTTTTGCTGTTTTTCCCACACCGCCGAATTGAATAGCCTCCCATTGTTTGAGATATTATCTTTTATTACAATAAACACAGAATATTTTTGGAATATACGGAGACGTACGTACAAGTCAATTGTTGGCGCTGCACGCTGTACTAATTTCAGCTTTCTAATTTGTGATTTCAGTGCAAACGAGAGATGATATTTACAAGTAATATATGGCACATTTGCCTAATGAATTACCAGGGATGAGCGGCCCTTATTTCGTCTCTATTTCTGTTTATCTACTCGATGCCGTTCACAAATATTAATATCAGAATTAACGTAGTAAAACTAATATCAGGCTTTGCATGTAATTTCCAAGTGCTTTCTGTGTAGTTGCCGTGTGCTGCTTCTCAATAGAAAAGTATCAACAACGGTTTTTTTATATAATATCAAGTGACGGGACGAACGAGTCGTGCGCCTGATGGTAAGCTACACGTCTGTCCATAACAGTTGCAGTGCCACTCAGAGCTTTAAATCGCAAAGACCTGAGGGACACTGGCACTGCGCGCGACACCCTTAGACATAAGTTTACAAGTCTCATGTGTCAGTGATTTCACCAACACCCTTCGAAACCGGAACGCAGTAATGTTCACATGTTTGCTTGGCGGCAGAAATAGGTAAGGTGGCAGTACTTCCCTGGACGAACTCTTTCACAAGGAGCTCTACAGCTACTAAAATCGTCTAGGGAAAAACTGCCACCACATCTATTTCTACCGCCAAGTAGTGATGTGAGCATTTCAGTTTTGAAGGGTAAGGGTGCTGGTGCAACACCAGAGGTAATGTCGCAAAAGGAGGCCGCGGAGCGGGTGCGCGAGGATGCGCCGGACGCGCACCTGCTCCGGCGCAGACGTACGGGGAGAAGGCGAAGGCAGTTCGCTGCTCGCCTGATCCCCTAGTGAGACCAGCGGGCTCTGGACAGGGACTCCGGAGCCTGCATTGCACGGCCTCACTCGTCTGGGGGGCGGGTCGGAGGACAACCGACTCGCGGGCGCGGGAGCCCTGGCGTAACCTAGGGCGGCCGGGCGACGTCGTGGTCTGATCTGATCCTGAACTGATCCCACGGCGCCGACTCAACCGGCGAGAGGGAAACCCGGGGCGGTTTTAGTAGGGTAGGCCCTCCAGTCTGGAGGGAGAGTCCCCACATAACCCCTGAGTCTACCTGGGCTCAGGGGTATCCATAAAGATTTCCCTCCCGTCAAAAAAAAAAAAGAAAAAAAAAAGGTGCTGGTGCAACTTCAGGCACAAATTTTTGCGATTTAAAGCTCTAAATTACACTACAACTATTACCACCACGTGGTGCTTTACTACCAGGTGCAAAACTTGTTCGTCCCATCACTATTAACAATCATAAAATAGCTTTATCCGGATTTTTCTTATTTCGTAGGCACGCTAAACATAGCGCCATTTGACAATATCAAAGTTACATTTAAGAGTCGTTACAACTTCAAATGTCTTTGGTTGATTCCGCTGTAACAGTGACACTTTTGAATAAATCACTTTGATAAAAATATGTAGCAAAATTGAGAATGTACTCTGACTACTTAGGGCACGTTCCCACTATGTCGTCACGTTTTTTTAGCCTGTTCCCATATCATGACTATCTGTCGTGGACGATTTTTTATCGTTGAACGACTGTCGTGACTAGCAGTTCCCACTCGACTGTGACGACAATAGGAGCTGCGACAATATGTCGTCACGTTTTTATCGTGACGTTTTTTAACGTCTGACGACTGTCGTTCTAGCTGTTCCCACTGGGACGACAGTTTGTCGTTGTAACGATAAAAAATCGGGAACGACAGTTAATCGTGTCTTGCTATATGCGAACAACTTCATTTAAATATACAAGCCACGACACTGTAAACTGCACGACAATCTGTCGTCACGACATAGTGGGAACGCGCCCTTATGGTGTGAAAACACGATAGAAAATAAACACAAACTTACCTCGAAATTTTACAAGAAAAGCGCTGTATTCGACAGGGACTTTACATATACCATTTTTTTTTTTTATATCAACAGAACGAAATAGAATACGTTGTTATACGATATAGATTTTTCAAATGGCTTTAAATTCGTTTGAAAAAAAAAATTCTGAAATAAAGCCAGTGTCCCCGCTGTTCGAACCACGCAATAGAACCGATTCAATACAGGAAAAATTTAAATTCGAGCTGGGTCGATACTACTATCGACTCTTAATGGATACATTTAAACGAAGTGTATATTTTATTATTTTAGGTATGCCGACCGGTCCCCACGAACTCTGAATTGAATCTGCTGGGGTACATCGTAGACTACACATGTAATGGTACATCTGACGCATCCAAACTTAAAGATATGAGGCTCTCATTCCCAAGTGCACACTCTAGCTTCGCTATGTACAGCGCTATATTCTTCATAGTAAGTTGAAAGGTTTATGGTAACAAGTTTATATCGAGTTATAAGGTTTTCACAAATGCTATACATTGGAAATGAATTTTTTTTAAATGACTTCAAAATAATCTCAATACACAGTACTAAAAAAACCGACCTCAAAAGTACGTGGAATTACATCTATTGTCAAGTTTTTTGAAATCGGTTACCGGAAAGTGCGCAAACCCGGATTCATGCCCTAGTTCGCCACTATACGGGACTTGACACAGGAGATAATAAAAAGTGGTTCTCACTACTCAAAGTATATTGAGAGAAAAACGCCTTGAATTGGAGAATAGCAAAATCAACCATTAAAATAATTGCTTATTATACTAAAATTTAGGCGCTATTTATAAAAATTAAATGGGACCACAATGGAGGTACCCTCTTTCCAATAAAAAAAGAATCATGAAAATCGGTTCACAAATACCGGAGTTATCGCATAACGTACGTACAAAAAAACATACAGTCGAATTGAGAACCTCCTCCTTTTTTGAAGTCGGTTAAAAAGGAAAACGACTGTATTTCTTTAATGTGTATATGTTACGCTTTTACTCCGAATTTGTGAATCAATTTCGATGATTCTTTTTTTGTTGGAAAGAGGGTAACTAACGTAGTGGTTCCGTTCAAATTTTAGGAAAATATTCCACCTCTAAATGGTGTGTTCCACGGCCCGAGTTGTCAAACGCTCCGATTTGTACGGGCGAGCTCGCGAAACGGGCCAGTCCGGGCGATCTCAGGCCGACGCGCGTGTCGGGCGAGAATGTATTGAGAGCCAGGCCGCCACGGGCGAACACAGGCGCGTTATGGCCACCACAACCTTTAAAACTTATTTTATCTTCCAGTTATACATCCAAACAAAAGGCAAGTGGAGTGGGTCAAAACTCATCCGTCACGTTTTACAATTTGCTGTTCTGATGGCCGCATGGTACGTGGGCCTGTCGCGTGTGGTCGACCATATGCATCATTGGGGCGATGTAGCTGCTGGGTTCGCAGTGGGCAGTGGTTTTGCCTTTGTTGTGGTCAGTATTGTAAACACTATAAATAACAATAACATATAAAAAAGCTATAGTAGTCTAATGTTTGACCTCTCAAACACAGGCCGTGGTTTCGAATCGGTTAAGTACGTTTAATTTGAAATTTACCATGACCTTTTCGGTGAATCGGTACACATCGTGATGAAACCTGTACATCGACGAAGGTTCACAATCCACGGAAAACATGTGAAGTTCCCAACCCTTACTAGGCCAGCGTGGTCCCTCACTATGAGCTTCATAAGAAGGCTCAAGGTCACTAAGCGGGTAATGGAGAGAGCGATGCTCGGTATTACCCAACGTGATAGAATCAGAAATGAGGAAATCCGTAGGAGAACGTAAGGTAACCGTCATAGCTCGAAGAACTGCTCAGCTGAAGTGCCAGTGGGCGGGGCATATAGCTAGGAGAACCGATGGCCGTTGGGGAGGAAAGGTTCTTCAATGGCGACCACGCACCGGAATACGCTCAGTGGGTAGGCCCCCCCACCAGGTGAACCGATGATCTGGTAAGGGTCGCGGGATGCCTATGGATGCGGGCAGCGCAGGACCGATCGTCGTGGAGATCGTTGGGGGAGGCCTATGCCCCGCAGTGGGCGTCGTATGGCTGAATGATGATGATGAAGATGACTGGGCCAGCATGGCGGCCTAAACCCTCGCCTGAGGTATAAACGAGTTAATGTTGAAGAAAGTTGTACTTAGTAGTACAATTATGAAACTGTTAAATGGGTTGGGTTTTCCAACGGATGACAAGTCCATATACTAAAGGGCTTTTCTACAAGAACTTTGTCTCGTAAATCAAAATAAAAAAATAAATTTAGATGACAATGATTCACATTTTTATTGTATTAAAAAAGTAAGGTTTGGCAATTATGAATGAAACAAAGATATCTGATAAATGTCCACCACGACCACAGTTACAGTTTTCACTCAAAGTGTTTAATCACTTTTTGAGAAAATGGCGGTGTTAAATCACATGATCGAGCTGGCCACTTAACGGCTGAATTTCGTGAAATTATGCGATCGGGAAATTTGGTTTGCAACAAATTCATTGTTTCGGTGGCTGCGTGAGTTACCTATACTAAAATACTGAAAGACAGTACTTTCACAGTACATGAAAAAATCTCTAAATATATAATAATCTACAAATAACGGACACGACAACGGTAGGTAATTTTTGCTGCAGTGTGATACTTAATGCGTATTTATCATATTTATCGTTAGATCACTGTCGTGCCTAGCTGTGTCCACTAAATCGTGACAATTTATCGGTTCACGGCACCCGCGTTGTCGTTTGTACGACAGAATCGTGTGAAATTGCGATTACCTATCGTCACATTTTTATCGTAACGTTTCATTTTATCATCAGACGACTGTCATTCTAGCTCTTTCTATTGTCAGGACAGTCTGTCGTGACAATGAAAAGAGCTAGTCGTGACCAACAGTTCGAACGACTCCATTAGGCATCAGTTTAAAGAATTAATGTTAAATAAATAAATAAAAATTTAAACTGAACGACTATCTGTCGTCACAGCATAATGGGAACGCGCCGTTACGCGGAGCCGCACTGGCAGTGCGTGATTCTCTTTTTTTTACCCACTTCAAGAAAAGAGGAGGTTCTCAATTCGACAGTACTTTTTGTGTGCATGTTACACGATTAGTCGCGTTATTTGTGAACCGATTTTGATAATTCTTTTTGTTGGCAAGGGGGTACCTCAGTTTGGTCCCATTTAAGTTTAAAGAAAATATTCCACCTCTAAAGGTAGCAAACTAGGGGATGAATCCGGTTTCACACACTTTCCGGTAACCGATTTCAATAAAACTTGGCAAAAAGATGTAATTCCACGAACTTCTGAGGTTGGTCTTTTTTTATAAAAAAATGTCTCCTGCAGTTACGATACCTTATTAAACGGTTTGTGCAAATAGGTATGACAACAATTCTGGCAGTTTTATTAATTTTATACCCAAATTTTTGTCATGCTGATGTCTAGAATAAAGTTACATTCAATATCGGTGTCAAGTCGTTATACAATCTGAATTTTAAATTACAGTTTACGTTCGTCCTGAAACCAAAGAAGTATGGTCTGCCGACATCCTGGGAAGACAGGGACGCAGAGCTGGCTGGGTTGCCGAGATAAAATCTTGAGTTCATCGAACTTCATCTTTTGGCTGCGTTTTCATTTAAGTTTGTACACCGTAGTTTTAATTAAATCTTGCAGTGACATATACGGGTGTCCCAAAAATATTGTCCTCCTTATCAAAACTGATGTAATCGACATTTTTAACGATATTGAGTTATTAATATATCTGGGATCCGCGAAACGATTTCTATAACCCCCTCTAATCGGTATTTAATATCTTATTTACTTTCAGTTTTTTACTAGCAAAAAAAACTTTAAGTACTAATCTCTCGAAAGTTACCGAAAAGCGATAGTTATAATAGTTAGGTCAAGGAGGACAGAATAGCTGGTGTTATATTACGTTTATGAAAATGTAATTTATGTTACGAATCTTATGAAGAATATTGATAGACTTAACATTAATACAAAGAACAAAAAATAGACTGGCAGCTAGTATAAGATCGAAAATTTGCTGTTTATGAAGTTTAAAACTATTGTGAGTAAGAACTTTAGCTTCTGCGTACTTGGATGATAAAAATCCATGGAAAATATCTTCAGTTCTTTCTGATTACTGTAATATTGTAAAATATAATAAACCTTACTTTCTCAAACTCGTATCTTACAAAGATACGATTGTTCAGGAGATGGCAAATCGTTCTATTTATTATAAATTTCTTATTAAGTGTATTAATTTGGATGCATTACTTTAAGTATATGTAAAAGTCTGTGTGTAAATATGATTGAAGTGTGATGTAAAATCAACCTGCAACATTTGTATATACAATCCATTTTTTGCAATTCAGTAACTTTGTGCTTTAAGATACGAGTTTGAGAAAGTAAGGCGACTCTATTCTACAAGCAAAGAGTATTAATTCTAGAGGTTTTAGTATAAACTGGTTATAACAAAAATCCCATTGACTTACAAATAAATGGACGACGGGTCTAATACAAAAACCACGAAAAAAATGTCCCAAGTCAACCTATTCGAAATTTAATTTGTAATGTCATCGCAGTATCGCGCTGTCAGTCGAACAAATGAAGACTAAAGCGGAGTTTGGCGCTCTGTATACGATTTTAGCGCCTTACAAGTGCGGACACTTTTTAGCGCGGACCCGACGTCCATATAATTGTAAGTCAATGAAAAATCCCAACAGTTTCTTGGGAATGAACGATGTTTATCAATTTCAGAAACAAAAAGATACTTCGAATTTTTAATTAAAGTTCAAATAACAACTTTTGGTAACTTTTTGAAATTCACTAAAAGAAAACTGTATTATTCCATAAAAGAAATTAACCAACTGAACTATGTCAATTTTTTTTTAATATCTATAACGTTAGAAAAGTTTCTGCATTTGCTCTTCTGAGTTATTACTTCATTATATTATTGTTAGTATACTATTTATGGCATACCTCATAGACCCGACTTGATTTTAGACTAAATAAAGAACGTAATGTTACAAAAAACAATATCGGGAATAACGACCTCATTGATTGAATGTATAAAATTTTGTTATTTTTTAAACATAATTTGCTGCCTTGTATTAAGAAATAAAAAAGTCATAATTAAAACATTATGAATATTAAGAGAGCTTGTTGTATAATAATAATAAAAAATACAAATTGTTAGTTTAAAAATAGGCACTATTGTATTCAGGCGTACAATAACAATTTAAAAGTTAACATGTCACATACTCAGTGAGAAATACTTTTGTAATTCTTGAAAGTGTAGTCGATTTTACAGGGTTGTTTGTACTATATATACTATCAGTCTCACAAGATTTTATTCCTACCATCATAAACAACAACTTTCATTTGTGTGTAACGTAAATTGGAATGTTCTTTGGAAAATGAAATGAAGTACTTGATTAATAATCCCTCTGTCCCTGTGTTATTCAGGTACACTTGGGCTAAGTAATGTTTATTCTTAGAATAATAACGCATAGAAACCTAGCCCGCACACGCTAAGTGAGGCAAGTTAGAGGGTTCCAAACGCGTCCCAGGAGCGCGCGGGCTGTTAGTGCTCAAGGTCATATTGCACCGCGAACAGCTCTAAAATTTTTTGCTAAAAATGACGAAATGTGCGGTAAATGGGTGTAAAAATACAACAGACAAACATAAAATAGACACTAACATCGCATTCCACAAGTAAGTAATGCGTTTCAACTCATATTTTTATGTAAATATTTACTAAAACAGAAAAATAATTTCGCGGCAACAAGATACGAAAGTGTTGCAAAGTAACGAATTTTTTTTCTCCCCATTTTGCTATTCTGTTTCAAAATAATTATATTACGTAAATTTTAGTGGTGCCTGTAATTTAGATTTATTTGCGCATCTTGAACTAATATTTACTTTAATAAACATTAAATGTTTTCGTTAACTCCTGTAAGTGATTGGGACACTTAATTATTTTATAATACTTTTAACGGCTCTGCGTTCATGCTTTATTGAATAATTATTTATTTTAATTTTATTTGAATTGGAGCACATATTGCAACAAATTTACAGTACTTATATATTTGTTTCTACTATAGTGTTGGCACCACCAGTACAACTTTGATAGCTTATTATATGTCTTTCTTTTCGTAACTCAAGCGAAATATTTTATATTAAAATATTTTATTTTCTTAAAAGGGGAGCATTCTTAAGCGATTTTTTAATCTATTTTAACAGTTATTTTCTTTAATGTTTGCTTATGGCATTTTCGGTTTTAGGTTTCGAATATGGCACTTATTTCTAAATCCAAGATGCGGGCGCGATTTTTCGAATAATGGCAAGTTGGGTATCGTTTTCGAGATGTTTGGGAATGTTCAATACAAATATGGCACTCATTTCTAAATCCAAGATGGCAAACACGACAGTTCAAACAAAAGCAATATTCGTAATGAGCACCCCCAAATACCTCGAAAACGATACCCAACTTGCCATTATTTGAAAAATCGTGCCCGCCATCTTGGATTTACAAATAGTGCCATATTCACATTGAGCATCCCCAAATACCTCGAAAATGATACCCACATAGCATTTTTTTGAAAAAATCGTGCCCGCCATCTTGGATTTAGAAATGAGTGCCACATTCGTAATTAGCACCCCCAAGTACCTCGAAAATGATACCCATATTGCATTTATTTGAAAACTCGTGTCCGCCATCTTGGATTTAGAAATGAGTGCCATATTCG